CAAGAGGAGAGGAGGAACGACAGAAAGTTGGGTAGGAGAAGGAACTTTAAATGGAGGAAGGACGGAGAGGGCGGTAGAGGCAGGGAGGATGGAGAAGGATGAGTGGAGAAGGTATGTGAAAGGTGGCGGGCCAGGAGGGTGAGAAGGAGTTGAAAGGAATGGATGAGAGGGGAAGGTGGAGGGATAGATGGATGCATGGGTGCATGCATGCTAGTGAGGGGGAGGCGAAGGAGGAGGAGGAGGAGGAGGAATAGGCGAGATTAGGGAGAGGATGAAGATTCCGAGAAATCTGTAGTTGACGATGACGATGACGATGATGAGGACGAGGAGGAGGAGGAAGAGGAGGAGGAGGAGGAGGCGGAGAAGGACAGGATGAGGAGGCGGAGAAGGAGGAGAAGGAGGATGGTGATAATGGTGCTGATGCTGCTGCTGATGATGATGATGATGCTGATGATGGGGATGATGAAGATGCTGATGCTGCTGCTGCTGATGATGATGATGAGGATGATGATGATAATGACGATGCTGCTGCTGATGATGCTGCTGCTAATGATGATGCAGATGCTGATGATGATGCTGACGCTGGTGCTGGTGCAGATGCTGATGCTGCTGCTGCTGCTTCCAGTGCCGATGATGATCATGATGATGTTGATGCTGATACAAATGACGATGCCGATCATGATGATGCTGCTGCTGATGATGATGATGATGATGCTGATGATCATGATGCTGCTGATGATGATGGGGATGACAATGACGACGACGATGATGATGAGGGTGATGATGAATATGATTATGCTGACGATGACGCTGATGCTGATGCTGCTGCTGCTGATGTTGTTGATGATGATGCTGCTGATGGATAGGATGATGCTGCTGCTCATGATTATGATGGTGACGATTATGCTGATGATGTCGATGATGCTGCTGCTGAGGATGATGCCGATGCTGATGCTGATGATGATGACGATGATGATACGGTCGATGATGATGCTGCTGACGACGACGATGATGATGATGATGATGATGATGATGATGATGATGATGATGATGATGATGATGATGATGATGATGATGATGATGATGATGATGCTGATGCTGATGCTGATGCTGATGCTGATGCTGATGCTGATGATTTTTATGATGATGCTGATGATGCTGATGATGCTGCTGCTGATGATGATGAGGAGGTGGAGGAGGAGGAGGAGGAGTCGGGAGGAGGATGAGGATGCAGAGGAAGATGAGGAGTTGGAGGAGGAGTTGGAGGAGGAGTGGGAGGAGGAGGAGGAGGAGGAGGAGGAGGAGGAGGAGGAGGAGGAGGAGGGGAAGAGGAGGAGGAGGATGAGGAGGTGAGGAGGAGGAGGAGGAGAAGGAGGAGGAGGAGAGGGAGGAGGAGGAGGAGGCGGAGGAGGAGGAGGAGGAGGAGGAGGAGGAGGAGGAGGAGGAGGAGGAGGAGGAGGAGGAGTTGGAGGAGGCCGAGGGGAAGAATGAGGATGACGAGGTTGTTGGGCTTACCCTTTCTGGATGCCCTCCCGCCCAGTCGCCCAGGCATCGTGACAGGCGTCGGGATGAAGATCGGGACAGAGACCGAGATCGTCGGGACCGAGACCGTGCACGCAGAGAAAGAGGATACCGCTCCATCTTTTTCACAACGGGCCACTTGATCATGAAGGGGCTCTCTCACAGCATCCGCTCTAGAGGCTTGCATCCGATTCGGAAAACTTGCTTCTTCCCCCATCCTCATCTTCACCCGTCTCCCTCCTCCCCTCACGCGTGTGCGGCTGTACTGGTAGAGTGCTCGAGCCTCATGGAATTTTCTCAACCTTTCTTTGGTTAGGTACCCGTTCTGACTGGAGCATTGCCGCTCCTCTCTTCTACTCTCCCGTCCTCTCCGGCGCCCTCCCCTGCTCTCCTATCTCTCCTCTTATTCCACCCTCCTTTGGTTGGGCTCCTCCTTCTTCCTCTCGCCTCCTCTCTTCCTCCCTCCTGCATTCTGCCCCCTACCTGCCTCCTATCTCGCCTCCCTGGGCAGCTGCTGCTACTTTCATGCGCTCCTGGGAGGTTCAGCGAAGGGCGGTGCCATTGCAGAGCCAGACCAGGCCTTCCCTGCCTAGGTGCTGTCAGCTGCGCAGTTGTCGGCATTCATGTCCGCTTCTCGAGGGCCTAGCGGGGGGCGGTGTTACGCGGATCGCCCCCTAGTTCGCTGCCTACTGGGCAACCGTCGCCGCTTCTCGTGAGCTTCCAGTAGGTCCAGCGGAAGGACTTCTTGCGCCTGTACTTGACCTTCCTTCGGAGATTCCTCGTATCTGTTGTGGGGCGCGCAAAGGCATCGGTTTTCCGTGCGCGAATACATTGGCTCGCCGTGTAGCTCGCAGAAAGGGCAACATGCCCTTTCAGATGCCTTTCCGTCTATACCACTTGCAGCGGTCGGGTACGTGCCTGCGTCATTTCCAGCAGCGAGAGGGGCGCCTCTCAGCAGCCCCCTAGAGGAGCACGAGGAGGAGGAGGAGGAGGAGGAAGAGGATGAGGAGGAAGAGGAGGAGGAAGGCAGATGTTTTCAACCGAGAGTGGGCACAGACAGCTCGGTTCATGGGAGGTGGATCGCCCGCCTGCTCTGGCAAGGCGCCGGGTCGGTATCAACATGGAAGGGTGGCACCCTGCCAGGAGTCGCACGCAGTGTTGGCCTTCGGGGTCGGAAGGGCCTCAGTCCCGCAGGTTTCCGGCTCTTTCCTGCTACTTCTTCTCCCGAGAGCAGCGAAGGGGGCAGCTGGCCCGTGAATGGGCTAACTTTGGAGATCCCAGGCGATTTCCTACCACCCACTCCTGCTCGGTGACCCCCAGGGGAGGAGGAGTAGGAGGGTCGTGTTTCGAGCAATATCATCGTATGTCATGTTCAGGGGAAGGATGAGGAGAGGGAGAAGGTGGACGAGGATGATGACGAGCAGGCTAATGGCTTCAGCAGAATTTCGATGCCAGAGGTCATGGATAAGTATCGGAGCTGCTCCCTCCTCGTGTATGGTCGGCACGCCTATCTTGTCGGGATGTGCCGCTCTTTTGTGTAATCACCAGTGTAGGCTTTTGCGAAGGCCTTACGGCCAGTGCCGCCGACCCTGAATGGCAACGACGACGACGACGACGACGACGACGAAGAAGAAGAAGACGACGACGACGACCAAGACGACGAGCGCTCTCGGGTTCCTCTTGGGGGTACTTTGGGAGCCTCTTGGGAGGCTCTTGGGGGCCTCTTGGGACCTCTTGGGGGCTTCTTAGGGTCCTCTGGGGGCCTCCTGGGACCTTCTCAGGCCGAGGGCTGGAAATGACCTTTCGGGTCCCTCGTCTGGGCTCCCTCTTGGAGCCGTCTTGGGGGCCTCTTCGGCTGTCCTGGAGGCCTCTTGGAGGCCTCTTGGACCATCTTGGGGCGGTCTTGGGGGCGTCTTGGAGCGTCGGGAAGCTGACAAGGCGAGAATGCCGAAATCTTTCCAAAACCTAAGGGAAATCTATGATTTTTGCCCCTCGGGGCCGTCTTGGAAGTCCTCTTGGAGGCCTCTTGGGGCGTTTTGGAAACGTTTTGAGCCGTCTGGAGGCTACTTTGGCGACTTGGACCGATATTTTGGGGATTCGGGGCCGTCGAGCACCGACTTGGGGGTATCTTGGGGCACTTTTGCGTTCTTGGGGCTTTTCTGGGCCCCGAACTGCCCAGGGGGAGGTCGTATGTGGGTGGCGACCCCCCCTGGGGGGGAGTCGTATCTGGGTGGCGACCCCCCCCGGGACCCCCCCGGGACCCCGCTATAGGACCCCCCTGGGACCCTCCCCCTCCGCCCCCTGGCCGGGAAGGGATCAAAGGGAAGGGGCTTCCTCCTCTCGACTCAACTACACCGGGCCTAGGGAAAGGAGAGGGGAGCGGCGAAGGCGACGACGACGACGACGACGACGACGAGGACGACGAGGAGGACGACGACGACGACGACGACGACGACGACGACGACAACGAGTTAAGCGGAACAGCCTCGTCCACACGCCGACAGGCTCGGTGCCGCTCTGTTGTGTAATCACCAGTGTAAGCTATTCCAGGAGTCCCTCGCTGAGGCCACTAATCCAGTTCTCCCCCTTCCCTCTCCCCTCGTCCCCCATGAGATGTTTGCGGATGGTCCTTCATGTTATATGATCTTCTGCCAGGGTCGCTTTCCAGCTCATATGTGCGTGGAGTTCATCCATTTCGAAGTCCACAGCAGCCCCTTTAAAAAGAGGTCTCGCATGCCCAGAGTTTTCGTATGTCACCTGCGGACATGCAGGGCTACTGTGTCTGTGGGCCCTGTTGGGCTTCCATACCCCGCACGCCGGTATCCGTCGCGAGCAGGGTGTGTGTGTGTGTGTGTGTCCGTAGCCTGGCTCAAGCCGCTCTGGCTCGAGGTTGGCCGGCGCGGCCTGGGGGCCAGAGTCTCCCCTTTGACTTCGGCCGGCCTGTGGGGCGCTGGGAGGGGCCTCCTCTTCCCGGTGCCCCTCCCCCGGTGCCACGTCCCCGTCTCTTGGCGGGCCGCGGACGGCGCTGCGCCGCGCTTAGCGCCGGGCGGCGGCCGCGCGGCTCGCCGCCGCCCTGGCTGCCGCCGGCGGCGGCGCCCCTGGCTTGGCTGCGGGGTTGCCCCGCCGGCCGCTGGCGGGCGCCGCTCGCGTGGCGGCCGACTCGGCCCGCGCCGTGGCCGCCCGTCCGGCCGCTGCGCGGCCCTTGCGGCTCGCGGCCCCTCGCCCTCTGCGGCGGCAGCTCAGGCGGCTGCCGGCGCGGCCAGCGCGGGCCAGGCCGTTGGCGCTCCTCTGGCGGCCGCCGCTGCAGCGACTCGCGCGGCGGCCGACGCCGCGGCCGCGGCGGCTACTGGCTCGGCTACCGGCGCCGCTGGCGCGGTGGCCGCGGCTGCTGCCCTCTCCGCGGCGGCTGGCGCGGCCGCTGCGGACGCGGCCGCCGCGGCGGCCGCCGCGGCGGCTGCCGGCGCGGCTGCTGCTGCGGTGGCCGCTGCGGCTGGCGCCTGTGCCGTGGTCTCCACGGCCGCCGCCGCGGCGGATGACTTCGGCTTTCACGTGCTGGCGCCCAACGACGCCGAGGACAAGCAGAAGGAGCTGGCGGCTGAAATCGCCAACAGTCGTCTGGCCATGATGGCGACCGGCACGGCGGGACTACGAGTATTGGACATGTGTTTGTATATGTACATGCTGCGCGTGCGTATTTGCACGGACGTTGTTTTGCGCGTGCGTGCGTTTTCTTTTTTGAGGTGTCCGAAAGTCCAGTACTCAGTGTATCGTGCTTGCCAGAGACAGTGCGAACAGTGTGCCGTGCTTGGGCTGGGGGTCTTGTGATCCAGTGACGTCTGCTGTGTGGTGCTGTGCGGTGCTGTGATTCCTTTGTCTGAACGTGAGGTGTCTCTGGTGTCGAGGGGCGCGCCCGTAGTCCTTACCAGCCTACGCCCCGCTCCCGGGGCCGGGGTGCCGGGTGTGGCCGCCAACCACACCGGCGCGTCAATGGTCCGCCGAGTCGGACGGGAGCGTCTCGCGCCCTCGGTGCGTGCGTTGTTCTGTACGGCCCGTGAGTGCCCAAACCTCCCGATTGGGCTGGGGGCAACGTTCCGTGAGCGCCCGAGGGCGCTTGGTGTACAGCGTGTCATGGCAATGGGCTGGCGCCCCGGGGCGGCCAACCCCACGGCGGGAAATCAATCGGGTTCCCTTCGGCCTGATTGCCTTTTCACGTCGCCCCACGTGTACCTGCGTTCCAGGGTGGCGCGGAGCTGCACCCCCCTGCTCGTGGGCTCGGTTTCGATCTTATTGGTCTTCCACACCACAACGTGTAGGCTTCTCTCGCGCGGGGCGGGCGGGCACGGCTCGCTGCCATGCACGTGCTGGGGCGGTTCGGATTCCTTTTTGGAGTCCACCCCTTCACGTCGGGCAGCGTGAGACTGGCTTCCGCCTGATCACCGGAGGTCGGGTGGCTTGGGGTACGCGTTTGGTCTGGGCTCGGCGTTGATCCTACGGAGTCTCCTGTTGGTGTTGCGACGGTGCACATGACCAAGTTGGGGTATCCCGACCTGTTCCCTCCTCGTCGCCCCCTCTCCCCCTCTCACCTCTCCTGCTCTGGGGCTCTTGGGGGGGGGGTCCGCCGCGGAGGGGCAGGGGGTCGGGCTCCCCCTCGCACCTCTCCGGTGCGGGGTCCCCGCCCCTGCCTTTTCGCGGCGTACTTCACCCCTCGGGGGGTCGGGGGCCGGGGTCCTGGTTCCGCGGGGGAGACGGAGGGCGGCCGACGAGGCCTACACCCCTCCCTCAGTGGCAGTGGCAGTGGCATGATGGCGACCGTTGGCATGTTCTTCCATGACGGCACGGTTGGCGCCGCCTGGGACGACTGGGCGTGCTGCGCTGGCTCCCCGCTGCGCGCGCTGCGGAGCGAGCTGGGCGTGCGGGGCCCGGTTGGTTGGGATCCCGCTGGCCTCGCCGCGGATGGTGGCACGGAGAGCTTCGCCAGCTGGCGCCAGACCGAGCTGGGTCACGGCCGCGTGTTCGTACTGCTGACGGTAAGCTACATCGCCTCATACATCACCTGCAGGCAGGACCCCGCGTATTTCTGGGACCCTATTGGGCTCATGGCGGATGGTGGCGCGGAGGACCTCGCCAGGAGGCGTCTGGCGGAGCTGCAGCTCGGCCGAGTAAGGCACCCGTCGCCGCCCGCCTGCCGGAAGATCACGGGTAATCCCAACGACCTCGATGCGATCTCCAAGGTGCTGACGTCCAGCGGCGTTGGGAACAAGCAGAAGAACTTGAAGGATGACATCGCCAACTGTCTTTTGGTCACACTGGCGTTCACCGGAATGCCCTTCCACGGCGGCTATATTGGCTCCGCGTGGGCCGAGTGGACGCTCTGCACAGGCTCTCCGCCACGCGTCCAGTGCGAGCTGAGCGTGCAGGGCCCGACGTACTTCTGGGGCCCTATCGGGCTCGCGGCGGGTGGCAGCGCAGAGGACCTCGCCAGGAGGCGCCAGGCGGAGCTCCAGCTTGGCCGCGTGAGCATGTTGACGACGACGGGCCACAACAGGCTCGAAACCGCCGGCACGCTGTCCGTCTGCTTCTCGCCTCCTGACAGCCTGAAGGTCGCGGACATCCCGTGCGGGCTCGAGGCGACCTCCCCGGCCTCCGCGGCGAGCTGCGCGCAGATCGTGGCCTTCGGCGCGTTCTGCGATCTGTCCCGGACCCACCCCGCCGATGCCACTGCTGCCACAGACGACGTCGGCTTCCAGGAGGCGACGCCCAGTGACAGCGATGAGGTTCAGAAGAAGAATTCGGCCCCAGAGATCGCCAACGGTTGCCTGGCCACGATGGCGATCATCGAGCTGGCGCTGTGACGCTCTAGAACGATTTGACGCTGTACACAGGCTCTTCGCCGCGCTCGGTCGAGAGTGAGCTGGGCGTGCACGGCCCGACGTACTTCTGGGACCCTATCGGGCTCGCGGCGGATGGTAGCGCTGAGGGCTTCGCCAGGAGGCGCCAGGCGGAGCCCCAGCTCGGCCGCGCGATCGTGTTGACGATGATGGGGCGCATCATGCCCGAAATCACCAGCGGTTTAGGGTCGGGTTTGGTTTCGGGTTTCTGGTTTCGGGTTTCGGGTTTCGGGTTTCGGGTTTCGGGTTTCGATGTTGCCCGACGATTTCTTGCCTCCCGCCTGCACGAAGGTCGTGGACATCCCGGACGGGCTCATGGCTATCTCCCCTGTCTCCGGGGCGAGCTGCGTGCAGCTCGTGACCCTCGGCACGTTCTGCGAGCTGTCCTGGGCCCAGCCCGCCGAAGCCGCTGCTGCCGGCCGCAGGCGACGTCGGCTTCCAGGTGCCGACGCCCAGTGACACTGATGAGGTTCAGAAGAAGCGTTCCGCTTGCCCGGCCGCGATGGCGATCATCGAGGCGACGCTCGAGGGCGACTGGGCGCTTTACGCAGGCTCTCCGCCGCACGCGGTCGAGAGGGAGCTGGGCGTGCAGGGCCCGCCGAACTTTTGGGAACCCTATCGGGCTCGTTGCGGATGGTAACGCCGAGGACCTCGCCTGGCGGCGCCAGGCGGAGGGCAGCTCCCGGGGGCTCCAGGGACAAGCGCCCCATGCTGCTGCGCACTTCGCCGAATCGCCCCATCCTGGTCCTGCTTCCTCGCCCTGCCCCCCCGACGGAAGGGAGCGAGAAACAGAGGACGTCGACGGCGGGGGTCGTCGCCGCCCCCCCCGCCACCGCTGCGCACGTCGCCGAGAGCTCGTGCAGGGTGCCCGGCTCGCCCCGACAGGTCGTGGCCGCCGCGCGCCGCCCTCGCGGTCCCGGAGCCCGCGCCGCGCGGGGCCCCCGGCCAGGCGGGGTCTCGCGGAGAGCGCGCGGCTCGAGCCAGAAGGGCTCGAGCCACAATTGCTTGAGCCAGAATGGCTTGAGCTAAAATGGCTGCGGAGTGCGTATGCCTGCCTGCCTGCCTGCATGTGTGTATGTGTCTATGTAAGCAAGCGTGCATGTATGTATGTATGCATGCATGCATGCACCTATGTATGTATGCATGTATGTATATTTGTGTGTATGGCAATGTTTATTCCTACGCGTGTATGTATGCAGGTATGCATGCATATATGCGTGTATGTATGCATGCATGTATGCATGCATGCATGCATGCATGCATGTATGTATGTATGTATGTATGTATGTATGTATGTAGGTAGGTAGGTAGGTAGGTAGGTAGGTAGGTAGGTGGGTATGTATGTATGTATGTATGTATGTATGTATGTATGTATGTATGTATGCATGTATGCATGTATGTATGTATGTATGTATGTATGTATGTATAGACATATATATATATATATATATATATATCGGGGTGTATGTGCATGTTTGTTTGTCTGCTCGTATGCATGTATGTATGCATGCATGTGTGTATGTATGCGTGCATGCATGTCTGTGCGTCTGTATGTATGTATGCACGTATGTTTATATGTATGCACATCTATAGATCTATATGCATGTATGTATGTATGTAAGTGTGTATGTATGTCTGTCTGTCTGTCTGCCTGCCTGTCTGTCTGTCTGTATGTATGCATGTAGGAAGGTAGGTAGGTAGGTCGGTAGGTAGGAGCGTGTGTGTGTGTGTGTGTGTGTGTGTGTGTGTGTGTTTCTGTGTGCTTCTCCGCCCTGTCGGTGCGCGCGGGGCCTTGACGCCAAACAATGTGTGTGTGTGTGTGTATCACGCGAGGCGGGGGCGCATCTTTCCAGGCCTGACTCCTGATGGCATGGCGACCCGCCCCGAGACCCACACCTGCATGGAAAAGTAGCGCAGCCATTTTAGCAGTGTTTTGGCCCCCTTCCCGATTTCAATGTTGAATCAGCCGCGGCCGATGGTGAGAAGTCGGATCTCGCGGCGCTCTGCGCGAACATTGAGATTGCAGGGCGCGGGGAAACGGACCGCGCGCGAGAATTGCGCGAGTTCTTCAGGGTGCTCGAGAGAAGTTTTCTAGGCCTTCCCCGAAGACAGAGACAGATTTTCAGAAGGCGCGAGGGCTTCTGAGAAGCCTCGCCACCTGTCCCCTCTCACTTCCCGTCCGCTTGTCTCAGAAGGGAAGAGGATGAGGCACACCCTCAGAGCTGTTGCTGCCGCCTCGAGGGCGGAGGAGGGTGACAGTGAGCAGCGAGGCATGTGCGATGCCAGCAGCGGTGAGAGCGATTGAGTCTGGTATCTGCGCGTGCGTGCGCATCAGGCGAACGCGGCCGAATTCCCTCTCGCCTCCCCCTGGGTTTGCCGTCGACGAGAGCCGCGCCCCGCCGCGTGCGGGTCCATCTGCGGAGACTGCTGGCGGCCCGCGGCCTCGGCACGGACGTGCGGCGCCGCCCCAGAAGCGGCCCGACCTCCTCCTCGGGCATGGTCCAAGACGTATATATAGAAATAGCTCTGGGAGGGGCTTTTAAGTCGCGTGCTATTCCTCCTCCTCCTCCTCCTTATTTTTTAGCCCTCCTCCTCCTCCTCCTCCTTCTTTTTTGGCCCTCCTGCCCCCTCGGGAACTTCCACGTGCCGACTTTTCCCGAGCCTGCCGCCCCGCGGAGGCGGAGCGGCGCGCGAGCCGCCTGCAGGGTCTGCACGTGTTGCCGGGGCCGCCTCGCGGTGACGGTCTTCACCCATGCACCCAAGCCACCCCAACCCAACCCGAAGGCCCAGATTTATCCTCGATTTCCAGTGTGGGGGGGGGGTCGGGAAACACTGAAAAAGCACACGGAACCCGTACCCCCCCCCCAACCCGAAGTTCGGGTCAAATTCGGGTCTTCGGGTTGGGTTGGGGTGGTCTGGTAGGTAGTCAGTTCTCTATACATCAGTTCCCGACCGTAGTCGGCGCTGGAGACGGAAGGGCCGTTTTTCGACCAGTTCCGAACGTCTTGATAGCGAAAACGGTAGGAAACGGTTCGCCGGAATTAGTTCTTGAGTTGAAGCCAGAGCAGGAGCTGGAAACAATAGGGCGACGGAACCGGCAACAAAAACGGAGTCGGAATCCGAGCAAAGATCAGAAAAACGGAACTGGAACCAAAACATGCGCTCTCGTTTCCAGGGTCCAGTAATGTCCTCCCCCTCCTGGTTCAGGAATTCTCGCCTGCGCCCTGGAGGTGCCGCGGTGCCCCCGCTCTCGGGGCTCTCGGGGACGTCAGGGGCGCCTCGGGGCAGCCGCCTGGGGCTCCTGCGCCAACATCCGGCTTGGATGCTCGCTGATCCTCGCCGTGCTGAGGGGACAAGTGGTGAGTGATTGGGGAAAGCCTCGACCAAGGAAAGGAGCAAGACCCATGAGACGGGGCGCGAGCCCCAGAACATAAAAGGGACGAACCCGTGAACCAGGGGTCGCTTGAACCCAGGATTTCGGGCACGTCGAGCCCAGGAAGCACAGAAGGCGCTATTTGCAGAAGTCTGGAGAGTTGGATGAGGCGGAGGAGGAGGAGGAGGAGGAGGAGGAGGAGGAGGAGGAGGAAAACGCTGAGGAGGGCCCGAAAATCAGCCAGAGCCACTTCTCTGCCTATGGCTGGGGTCTGGTGGCGTGGTTCAGCATCCCAGAGGCTCTGGGCCAAAAGGGCTCGGGTCCAAGACTGGAGCGCGGAGTTTCGGGTGGCCTCTCTGCATGACCTGTCTCCGCGCAGCCAGCGTGGGCCGTCCGGCGATCGTGGCTGAGTTGAGTGGAGCGGGGGCCAGCGCAGGAAAGCAGGTGGGCAGGCGTGCGCGGAGTGGACGGGAGGAAGACGGGACGGCGATGCAGAGTTGGGGGAACCAATGGTGATGAGCGGAAGCAGGGGGAGAACGGAGGCGGGAGGATTTTCGTCTCCCGAAGCTGCTTGCCGCGCAGGGGGGAGTCAAGAAGCGGGCTCCCAGACCAGCGCCGACGCCGATCCGATGCCAAGCGGAGTGACGAAAACGACGAGAAGAAGGAGCTTCGCCCACCTGCCCGCGCGCCGTGATGATGTTGCGTTTTCTTTTGGCTGCCAGGGGGCCCTCCCTGCAGAAGCTCGCGCGGGAAGGCACTGGGTGCGCATGGTGCCAGCTGGGGGCCCTTCAGCTGACTTTGAGGGGATGGCTGCCAAGGGACGATTGCTGCTTTCCGGGCTGTGTCGAGATCTCAGCGTGCCCGTTGGGAAGACCCCTTCGTCGTGTTCGGTTCCGGCATCAGCGCGCGCAATGGCGTGCTCGAGCACCCATACTGGGCGCTTGGCCTGCGATGCGCAGGGAACGTAAGTGCGTGCTAGTGTATCGCCCACGCAAGGGCCACGCTTGTTCGATGTTCCGCATTTCACATGCAGGACCGCTCGTAACGTAACCACAGCACACATCGTGTAGAGCAGAAGGTGGCAAATCGCAGAGCACGACATGAAGTCGGAAGTCTTTTTGTGCGGGTGATGGCGCAGGCGTCACGGCCAGTTCCACCAATCCAGTCGAGAGAATAGTTTAGGCGCAAGAGTCGGAATGAGGACGAAGGCAATGGGCAGTGGCGATTCTTAATTTGTGGACGAAAATCTAGTGGCCTTCGGCCCGTCCCGCCATTACGCTTGGGTCTTGGTTCAGAGGCCTTGGTGACATTTTGGGATCTCTTTGGGGGCTTCTTGCGGGGAGTTCTCGGGGCCTTTCTGGACTACTGCGGTGCGACTGGACCTCTCGGGGGCTTCTTGTGCCACTCTTCGGGGCGTCTTGGGGGTCTTGGCATCACGTTGGAGAAGTTGGCTTGCAGCGGAGCGGCGGTATCGCGCTTTTTGGGCCTCTTTTGTAGAGGTCTTGGGGGCCTTTTGAGCCATTCTTGAGGGCCTCTCAGGCCAACTTGGGCCCGTCTTGGGGGTCTTTTGGGCAGTCTTGTATGGTCTTGCTTAAGATGCGGCGAGAATCGTCAGATCTTGCAGCAATTTGAGGTATAGCAGCCCTAATGCAAGGGCCCGCGGCACTCGGAGGGCCCACGGGCCTCGCGACTGCCGCGTCCACCGCATGCACGCCGGGTGCCCGAACTGCAGCTGGGCGCACTGGCCCTCGTGGCGACGCGGTGCCTGGTAGCCGCAATGGCACGCCGGCGTTAGAGCGCAACGTCCTAGTGTGCCACTGCGGCTACTAGGCTCCGTCGCCGGTCGAAGACGCCCTCCGACATGCCGATGTCCCCAGCCCAGGGGAGACACGTCCCTGGCCATCTGGGGAAGTAGCCGTCGACGCCCTCCGACCTGCCCATGTCCCCATCCCAGGGGAGACACATCCCTGGCCATCTGGGGAGGTAGTCGCCGACGCCATCCGACCTGTCGCTGTCTCCAGCCCAGGGGAGACACACCCCTGGACATATGGGGAAGTAGCTGTCGTCGCCCTCCGACCTGCCGTTGCCCCAGCCCAGGGGAGGCCACCTGGGGAGGTAGCCGACGGCGTCACTCGACTCGCAGCTGCCCCCAGCCCAGGGGAGGCACATCCCTGGTCATCTGGGGAGGTAGACGTTGACGCCATCCGACATGCCGTTGCCCCCAGCCCAGGGTAGACACATCCCTGGCCATCTGGGGAGATACAAGGCGGCGCTGAGGAGGAGGAGGAGGAGGAGGAGGAGGAGGGGAGGAGGAGGAGGAGGAGGAGGAGGAGGAGGAGGCCCAAGCAATCCCACCCCCAGGGGCAGAACCAGCACGTGTCGGAGCCGTCGAGGGCCCCGTAATTAGGCCCTCCTCCAGGGGCGGAGGCAGCTCGGCTATTGGTTGGTCCTGGCCTTCTTCTGGCACGAGCCAAGCGCGCCGCCCAGCCGCCTGATGGTGGCGCGGAGCTGGGTCTCGTCCGTCGGGGGGTCCCCGCCGAAGGCTTCCCGCCAGAATTGCTGAAGATCGGGCAAGTCATCAGCGTCGCCAGGCTGTGGAGGGGCTGCAGCAGCCTCGCGAGGTTCTGGAGGCTGCGGTTGAGGCTGCGGCGGTCCA